CTGGATGGAAGCGGTTCCAGAAAACAGACTATTTTAAGTACCGTGTAAAGTTTTCTTACATAAAGCACACATCTATATACTCACACACACACCCCCACACACACATACTATAACGCGTACGCAGATTGGATTTTTAGCTTGGCAGCGTTTGCCTAAAAGGTTTGAAAATGCCAAAAGTAGTAACTAAGCTGCAGAGACTCTTATAGCGTCTCCTTTGCTATTCATTTCTGAATTTCTATTATCTGACAAGGATGCCAGCCAGGCTGGAACAATGACAAAACAACCCTAGGATTGTCCCAGGAATGGCGCAGGCCATTTGCTGGCACTGGGAAGGTGCTGGAAAGATGATGGGGAAGAGGCAGCAGACACCCGCGAGGCAGCGGCCACCTGCCACCGCCTCAGCAGCAGCTCAGGGAAGGGATGGCAGAAAAGCGGAGCTGCGCCATTCCAGATCTTCCCGTCATTTTCCTTCCGGTAGAATATATGAATGTAATTACACTTTTTCCCCCAAAACTTATGTATGCAGGCTGTGGAGCTACACATGGCTCAGATGGTCCTAATTAAGCGGCTCGCTGGGAGCTGTGGGTACCTGGACAGGCGGATTTGACCACCAACACCCAGACTGGGAACAAACCAGTTGTCCCAGTGGGATGGGCTGGCTCTTTGCGGGGAGTGCTATCTGCACGACCTGGAGCCAAAGCCAGCCATCCGTATTTAAAAGCACAAGAGTCCCCATCCATGATTTCCACTCTTTGCTGCCTTGTTCCACGTTTTCCTACCCGAGGGTGATGCCAGCGGCTCTGGCTGGTGGCTGGTAATGGGAGCAGCAGCCACCTGCCCCCAGTTGCCGTGGCTGGTTGTGGTGACGTGCTGCGCATCCAACAGGGACCTGTTCCCTCTGCCTCATGCGTTCCTTGAGTTGAGAAGCCCCCATCAGCAAGACACAAGAAATCAAGGTGGCAAAGGTGACGTGGAGTGTCCTGGAGGCCAGTGTCTGGCTGTGGCGACGGTGGAGGTGGCCAGGGTCCAGCTGCAGTGGCGGTGGAGGTGGCCAGGGTCGGGCTGTGGTGACAGTGGAGTTGGCCAGGGTCTGGCTGCGGTGACAGTGGAGGTGGCCAGGGTCAGGCTGTGGTGACGGTGGAGGTGGCCAGGGTCTGGCTGCGGTGACAGTGGAGGTGGCCAGGGTCAGGCTGTGGTGACGGTGGAGGTGGCCAGGGTCTGGCTGCGGTGACAGTGGAGCCAGGGTCTGGCTGCGGTGATGGTGGAGGTGTCCGGGGTCCAGCTGCGGTGACAGTAGAGGTGGCCGGGGTCCAGCTGCGGTGACAGTGGAGGTGGCCAGGGTCTGGCTGCAGTGACAGTAGAGGTGGCTGGGGTCCGGCTGCGGTGACGGTGGAGGTGGCGGGGGTCCACGCAGGCTTGTTTGGGAACTGTCTCAGGGATGGGTTCCAGGCTGTTCTGCCGGCTCTGTAAACTCCCAAAAAATGTCACTTGAGTGATGTATTTATGTCACAAGCATTCTAAATTACACATTGTTTTCCCTGTGTTTTGGTAATTAACTGACAAAACACATGGAAATCTGATTTAATTAACTGCTTGCTTTCAGTGAAATCCTATTTGTTGCTTTAAGCAAAATCCTTTCTTGTTTTGGGGGGGACTTTTCTTGACATATCTGTGATCCTTCTCCCTCATACAGTCCTCAGAAATACCTGCCCTTGAAGACACTGCTGTATTTAACTGCAGGAAAATAAAAATGCACAGAAATGGGGAAAAGGCAGGGGGTTCCCATGCAGCCCCCTCCAGCAGCCAGGAGGTGTTGCTGTCCCTGTCCCCAGATGGCCAACACCATGCAGCAGTCCTTGTCACCACGGAGGGATTGATGATGAGCTCCAGAAGTGCCTCTGGGTCTGCCTGGGGCCAGTGCTGCCCAGAGCTGGAGCCAGGAAAAGCCCTTGACACACAAGTATTTTTCCTCCAAGATGTTTTTCATTACCAGAGCCTCATAACCACAGCGTGAGGTTGCTCAGGACATGGTGCCAGAGCCCTGTGCGCTGGTGCCAGACAGAGGATGTTCCCATGGCCACTGTGGCATCGCTATCTCCCATTGCTATCTCCCATACCTATCTCCATCGCTATCTCTCGTCCCTATCTCCATTGCTATCTCCATCGCTATCTCCCATCGCTATCTCCATCGTTCTCTCTATCGCTGTCTCCATCGCTATCTCCATCCCTACCTCCGTCGCTCTCTCCATCCCTACCTCCATCCCTATCTCCATCGCTCTCTCCATCCCTATCTCCATCGCTATCTCCATCACTATCTCCATCCCTATCTCCATCGCTATCTCCCATCGCTATCTCCCATCCCTGTCTCCCATCGCTATCTCCATCCCTATCTCCATCGCTATCTCCCATCGCTATCTCCTATCCCTGTCTCCCATCGCTATCTCCATCCCTACCTCTATCGCTATCTCCCATCCCTATCTCCATCGCTATCTCCATCGCTATCTCCCATCGCTATCTCCCATCACTGTCTCCCATCCCTATCTCCCACCCATCGCTGCGGTCACTTGCACAAAGCCTTGCAGCTGGGAAGCATAACACTGGAGGAATGTCTGGTTTGACCGAGTCACCAACAGTCTATTTCTGTCATCCACCACCAGAACCAGGTTGTTGGAGTTCCCCCAAACCAGTGACTGTGGGATGGACTGGCTGCCAAAGGCAGGAGGGTTTGGCTGGTGAATTCATCGCTGCGGAGGATGGCCATGACCCCTCACTCACTACAGAGCCAGCAGGGTTTTACAGCCGTGGATGTGCATCTGCAGGGGTTGCAGGTGGTGGTGGCTGGGGACCAACGTGCACTGCTTTGGGGCCCAATCCTTCCCCTACACTCAAGTCTTCAGAAAATAGATTTCTGTTGGTGCAATAATTTTCTATAATTTTCCATTAAGGCTGTAAGCCTCGAGTCCTCCAGAAACAGATATATTTTGAGTATTTTACCCAATATCTTTGGAAACCACTATGCTCACGGCCAACATTGTGCGGGCGTTGGGTGCATGCAGCTCTCACAGTGCTGCGATGGAGCGTGCCAGCCCTGCAGGGGCGAGCATCCTCCTCCCTCCCAGCCCAGCCTGGGCTGAAATCGCGGCACAAGCCATTCTCCAGGACTGGCTCTGGGTGGGCGAGCGGCTCAGCCCAGGGCTCCCCACCTCGCACGGTGTCTGTCGGCAGCCGGGTCCCCATGGGACTGTGCCATTAAATGTTTGCAAAACACACATTCAGTTTCTAGAGGGGACCACGTCGTACGTTGCAATCATAAGTCTGTGTTATAAAATACGGTTTCCTGGTAAAACTTTTTTCACGGCTGACGGTACTGATGGTGGTGGGTGGGGGGCGGGCAGCGCCGGTACTGATGGTGATGGCTGGAGCGCGGCAGCCGCGGGGGCAGGACCTGGGTGTGCTGCGTGACTGTCCCCAGGACCAGGGTTATCAGTGTCATGTGTTTGTCCAGCTGCCCGTGTGACAATGACCTTCCTCAAGAGCTGGCTCCACGATGGGTGTTGAGCAGTTAGCAAATGCCAGAATACACGTTCAGAACCCAAATCTCTGGAGAATTCTGGTTATCTCTGGGGAAAAGGCTCCTAGTGTACCGCAGCCTTCAGGAAATAGTGGTAAAATTAAGAAAAAACAACTCATGATAGTTCTGAATTTGCAGAACTCTTCATGTATGTGATGGTTGCTGTCATTAGAGGTAAATAGCAGGGAGAATAAACTCATTAATGCAGGATGTTAATTGAAAACAGGACTTGTATAGAGAATGGAGTTTGTAATTACGAGAATAGTTATTAAAATACCATTTTGCTTTTTAAAATGCCTGACTTTAATACAGAGTACGAAGGAGCTATATTTAAAGAAGTTAATTATTTCCAGTGCTTCAAAAAGGGAAGTCTAAGCTGAAAATGATTTACCAAAAATGTGAAGACAGATTTTTAATTATCAGTTTTCAAACGCTGTTGTAGAATATCGGCTGAACCTTATTTTCACCACCACTAAGAAATGCGGAACCCATAAGGAACCCGTGCGGCAACATTTGCAATGCCGGCGCCCGCAGCTCCTACGCGTGGGCTGCACATTGTCCATGCCCGGACTCACCGCAGGGTTGCTGTGCATGCAGGCAGACGTGCCATCACCTCGTGTGCTACGCACGCTGGCGGTGCCGGGGGTGGTTCCCAGTGATAACCGCTGCCCAAGCCTGGCGATGGATCTGCAGCGTGGGCTTCTGCCGTGCCAGCTCACCTCCAGGATCACAACAGACAGCAAAACCCCCCAGATCCTGCTGCGGTGACCCATATTCTCCATCTGTCAATGACTTACTGAGGAGGGTGTCAGGGCTCCGACCAAAAGCAGCAGCAGCACACAAAAGGCATGCTCACCATGGCCCGGCAATGAAATAATTACAGAGAAACAGGCAAGTAGTCGTGCACCAGTCAAGCAGTAATTACTATCAAGTAGCAATGATATAGTTGTCTTTGCAACATTGGAAACACAGTAAGTATTAAACCCTGATTTGAGAAAGAGTGGCATTACATAAAAATACCCAAACTGTAGTTCAACCTGCACACAGGATAGAGGAAAAACTTGTGTTTGGTTTTTTTTTTTTTCAGTTTTAACTAAGTGGGATCTGGTCCTTCAATATGAAAAAAAAATAGATTAAAACTGAGGGGAAAATTGAATCCCATTAATATTGCTAGTAAATAAAAATATATTATTTTTTGGAAGAGAGAGCTTTAATAATAAGAGGTGTCATCAAGAGAGAAATCAAAACCGCATTGTATATTCATCAGATTGTTCAATACAAAAGCCAACAAAATTAAGCCATATTGATGCGATAAGCAGGAAGAAATATATTAGTTTCCAGATCACAACACTCCAGTACAAGGTATCATTGGAAAACCAAGTCAATTTTTAGATCAGTCAAGCTCCTATTAAATGAGCCCATACCTTTCGTCAGGGAAATCTATGGAACTGGCTCCTATTGACATATTGACAACGAGACGTGAATACATCGTTTCTGCTTCACGGCGGGTCAGCAAACACCCCGGCCAACGGGGGGGGGGCAA